AATTCATTATTTCGGAATATGCTTTTCCAAATATAACTAAATATATTTGATTTATATAATTCAATATATAATTCTTCTGCTAGATTCCTCTCCTAGACCTTTCTATTTATTCAATCCTAATTTCTAATCAATCTTTCTCGACTCGTCCTATTAAACATTATTCTGCCAGACCGATTCCATTGCTCAAATCTATCTTCTAATTAATCTTATTCTGCTCGTCCTATTGAATCTTCTTATTCCAGGCCTATATAATTGCTCAAATCTATCTTCTAATTAATCTTATTCTCTTTACTCTTTTGATTCTTCTTATTCCAGGCCTATCTAATTGCTCAAACCTATCTTCTAATTAATCTTATTCTATTTGCCCTATATTGATTCTTCTTATTACAGATCTATCTAATTGCTCAAATCTATCTTCTAATCAATCTTCCTCGTTTCGTGCTATTGATTCTTTTTCCAGATTCATTTGATTGCTCAAATCTATCTTCTATAAAATTTTTCTCGACTCGCCTTATTCAAATTCTTCTTCCATTCTTATCTGATTGATCAAATCTATCTTCTAATCGATTTATCTCGATTCGCCCTATCAAAATTCTTTTATCAGACCGATTTAATTGTTCAAATCTATCTTCTATTCGATTTTCGTCGACTCGCCCTATTAATTCTTCTGCCAATTCCTGGTTATTCAAATCTATCTTCTAATCAATCTTTCTCGATTCGCGGTATTGATTCTTATTCCAGATCTATTTAGTCATTCAAATCTATCTTATAATCAAGCTAATTATTCATATCTATCTTTTTTCAATTTTTCTCGTTTCGAGCTATTAATTCTTCTGCCAGATCTATTTAATTGATCAAATTTATCTTCTAATTCATCTTTCTCGATTCGTCCGATCAAATTTTGTTGCTATATTCTCTACTAGACTTATTTGATTATTCGTTATCCTTCTCGATTCGTCTTACTAAATTTCCTCTGTTATATTCTTCTATCAAATCTATCTGATTGCTCAAATCTATTTATCGGCTCGCCCTCATAATTTTTTATGCTATATTCTTCTGCTAGACCTATTTGATTGCTCAAATCTATCTTCTAAATTTATCTTTCTCGACTCGTCTTCTGAAGTAATATGAACCAATTTCTATGATTCAGCGCAGCCTCGTAAATTTTTGAGGTCTCCGGGAAAATTCTCCCCCCTCATGTCGTCCTTTGCCTCATGCAAGTCGAACTGATATCTATTAGGATTTGTTGTATTGAGCCGGTAAATCGTAAACCCTTAAATACATACTGCCTTGTACCCAAAGACGCCGCGCACCTCCGTCGTGAGAAGGATCAGGGCGATCAACGTGAATAGCCACTCCTGGGCTCAGTATTGAAGCTCAGGTTTTTTGATTTTTAGGATTCAGGGTTTAGGGTCAGTATTGAGGCTCAGGGTTTCGGGGTAAGGGCTCAGGGCAGTCTATACTATTGATTGGCAGCGTTTTATAGATCGCGCAAAGGCGACGACGTCGAGAGCCGAGTCTCTGTTGCTGAGTATGAGGTGACTCGCAAGTCCGACCAGGATACCTGACGTATTGGAGGCTTGATAAAGGTGTGATAGAAGGAATATTGAATACTAGATATACAGGGAGTAGGGAGGGCCACAATATCAGCCACAAGGATTCGAAGATGCAGCTTCCACGATTTCTGGATTTATATCGATTATTGAACGCCCATCCCGAATCATCTCTAATTATTTTTTTCTGAAATCCGCTCATCAGTTTCCTATCTAAAATCGACCCAAGAAATTGAAAAATCTAATATTCTTCAAATATACATCAAATATGAGATATTCGACTCTATATTCCGAATCTACGAATTTACAGCTTACTCTATGAAAAAAAAATGGTATTAATAACCATTAATTTGATATCGCGAGATAAGAATTTTTTCTCGCGCACGCCGAACATCATATCATTAATATCATCGAGCATATTAGAATGAGAAAATTATTCAGAAAGAACGAGACTGCGAACGGTTATAATGAATTGAGAAAATTATATCATAGTCGGATATAGAAATATCTACTAATATCTATAAGAATAGAATACCAATATTTCAAAAAATAATTTTCTTCATGAAAAATATTCGATATATCGATATCTTAATAATCGACCATATTCTTTATATCGATTCGATTTCGAAAGATATTTTAATACAAATTATAGATCTTACAACCCAGTGGATTTATCTTATATCACCCGGCGGGAATATGCATCACCCCATATAGACGTTGCTTCAGAATAAGTATATATCAACGGCGAAATTATGCATCAGGGAATACGAATCCCGATATAGACGCCGTGTTTGCAGCAGCAATGAAGAACGTGCAAAATCCTCGCATATGTGGCCGACGCCAGGTCTTGAGTGCACTTATGACTCTTTTTCGTATATATGCACTGTCGTTACAAACAGCAAATCCCCAAGCAAACGTTATTTTCAACCTCCTTTGTGGACGCTGCTTGCAATCTCCGAGTTGCACAAGCTCACTTCGGGGTTTCTCAAGCAGTTTCAATGCAATCTAGAGTACATTTTCTTCGCGATTCTGTATGTGAACCCCAGTATGGACGCTGCTTCACAATATGGACGCTGCTTCACGATACAGGCATTGCGTGAGTCCGCCGAGGGAGAATTGTTGATTCCCGACCAAACACTGCGACCGAGACTCCTCTTCGATAGCAACAGCTGATACAAGAAAATTTCTCATGAAACCATTCCCCATGCGGACGCAGGATGTTGCAAGCACTCGCTCAAGAAATGCATCGGTGGCAATAAATCTAGACCAGTAGTTCCCCATATAGACGCCCGATTTCATAGGCATATACTCGGGGAATACATCAGTCGCAGCAAATCCCCCATGTAAACGCGGGAATACTTGGTATCCGCCAACTAGACCCTAGTCGAATAACTAATTTACTAGATACTACACAATATACGGACAAGCTTGAATCCTAGTTTCCACAAGTAGATATTGTGCGATGCATAAAAAAGCCGCGCGATACATAATCTATCCGTCCCTTCTAATATATAAATACTACGAAATATATAATCAAAATCTAAATTCTAGACGCGCACCAAATATGAAATAGAGAAAAATCAAATATAAATCAGAATATCCAATCAAACGCGAATCCAAATACGAATCCGAATAAGAATCAAATACGAAACGAATATCAAATAGACACGATCCAGATACGAACCCGGATACAAACCGTATACGAACCAAACACGAACCAGACACGAACGCAGATACGAACCCGGACACGAACCAGACACGAACCAGACACGAACACAGACACGAACCCAGACACGAACCCAGAGACGCACCAGACGAAACGGATACGAACCAAATACGAACCCAGACACGAGCCGGACACGAATCCAAACAAGAACCCGGACGCGTACCAAACGCGAACCCGGACACTAACCCAAACACGAAGCCAGACACGAACCGGACACGAACCCGGATACGAATCAGACCGGAATCGATCACGAACCCTGACAAGCACAGCACCGGAGCCTTCGAAAACTGGTAGAATTTTATTACTGCGAGAATATCACCCTAAAGCTACCAATATTTAGAAGATACCACGAAATTTCCTGAACCTCTCTCAATCTTCGGGATGTTAGTACGAAGAGAGAAGCGCTCGGGATAGTAAAATTTCCAGGATTTTATTTAGCCACGCGAACCAATATGCAAGAGACTTTCACGAAGAAAAGCGGAAAAGGACCAAATTTTATAGGGCCAGGGGTGCGTATATCACAGACGCAACCAACCCGATACCATTTTACTAGAGAGTTCATTTTTTGCTTGAATAGAAGTTCAATAAATACAGAAAACATGATATAATTTTTGATTCAATTATAGAAGTCGTAAACTTAGGGAAGAAACGGACCTCCAGAGATTCTAAAGAGACTTATTCCAATTCAAATGAAAATCGAAACCGATTTTTTAACTAACTATTTCATTAGAGAAATGAAACGGATAAAGTAGCCAATCACAATTTTAAAAAAATGACTATATATGTTCTATAGATTTATTTCGCTCATAGAAGTCAATTATTAAAATGACCAATACCATTAAATCTAGAGGATGATTTAGAGTATAAATATTCTGTAGAAATTTTTATTCAGAAATATATATTTGATGAATAGTAATCATTAATTTAGAAATATATATATATATATATATTATTTACGTATTATTATTTTATTCCCTTTGGGATATATATATATATATAAATTATAAATATATGTGTGTATATATATATATATATATGAATTGTTCTGAAACCAAATCTTATACTGATTCTTCAGAAGTCCTAAATGATGGACGGTCAAAGATTATCTCATGGTCTATGCCTGCAAAAATCATATTCGTCATGGCTCGTATCCCATTTCTGTAGTTTCGATTTCAGACAGTTCAGCTAGTGTCATTGGGCCAAACAGTGCCTTGGCTGCAGGCGATGCTTGCTATCCAACCAATGGTCTGCATCATCGAGTCCAACTTCTTGACTCTCGACTGGCTTTAGGGCTGGTAGCAGCATGGTCTTCAGTCACAGGCTATTGTACCGCGGGTTGTCCGACATGCCTGAACTCAAGACAAATTGAGGTCGCCAACGAATGCAATCTACGATACTGCTGCTCGTGATCTTGTCAAATGATTTCTGCTCGGACAACCTGCCTTGCGGTGGCACCATGAACTTGGCCACATTTCCGTGCATTAGCCAATGGTGTGATGTCTTCGACGGTGAGTATGCCAGCGACAGGAACCGCGTACGTCCGGCGTTGTGCCACAGAGTCGCTCGACTTGACTGCCTACTTGCGAGATGCACTGCGGTGTTGTTACTGTGCAAATCTACGCCAAAAGTTGCACATGAGAGACGGCCATGCTTGCTTACTCTGCTTACTCCCGGAATCCACATTCGACTTGTAATCTCAACAGTCCCGTGTCAGGTCGGCGCTACCGGGCTGTCACTGGCTCCGAGGATGACCAGCGTCTCCCTGAGCCTGAGACTGGGTGTTGAAGAAGACTGCACAAAGCGGCCCCCAGTGGACCTTGGGACCCTGGCCGGTCTGTGCGGGGGAAGAAGCACCGATCACCTTGGAATGTGACTACTTCTCTGCTTCGTGGCACTTCCACATGCTTCGCTCGCGGCAGGCTCCCCAAGGCTTTGATGAACATCTCGGCGCTCCTGCATCGACAACGGAAGACTCTGATCTCGATGCACGGAAACACATGTGCTAAACATGGCCGCCTGATCCGCCCGGAAGCGCTGAGCCTGGCAAATCTGTCGCAAAGGCTAAGACCTCTAAGACTCTAAGCCAGGAAGCCTTGAAGTGAAAGAACTTTTTGTCCTTCTTTTTCCAACTCCTACAGTCCTACAGTAGCAGGCAGAAAGCAACTCTTCGGAGGCCTCCCAGTTCTTCGCCAAGGTGGTGTCATCGCGGCGAAATCGCTCCAGCTGCGATTCCATGAGCCGAACCTTGGTGCTCAAGCACTGCATGCTGCACCTGGAGTTATGTTATCCGGTGCAGTCCCCCGACCTCGTCTTCCAGCTCTCGCTGCAAGCGCTGGTTTTCCCTCTCCTCTCGGTGGCATTCCTGTCCAGGAGGGCGGGGTGCAGTGGCGCGGTCTGACATGGCTAACGCCAAGACTGCGGCGCCGGGGCGCCTGGCGAAGGAAGCCGAGGCTGGTCTCGCTTTCGACAAGTCGGCTTCGTACCTGCGTAGTTTTTGCGCTTCGACATTGGCGCAGGCACTTCAAGGAGCTACACAAAAACATCAAACAACTCCAGCCACATGACCGTACGTGACGATTTGAAAGCATCACTTATCAGTCGGGTCGCTCGTTCTACGTCCTGCTCCATGTCCTCCACCCTCTGTTGCCGGTGGTCCACGTACTGTCACAAATACGCAAGCTTTCGTGGAACTGAGAAGCTTGTATGGAGGTGCTGCTCTGAGTCTTTCGCACATTCGGCACTGCAAGCGCGGGACGACAACAAGATGAGTGCCGCCGTGAGAAAAGTGGGGCAAGAAGTAAGCTCCGAAATATTGCTTCGGCCTAGAACGATTCTTTGGAGACCGCATAAAGTCTTAGACTCATGAGATCTCTGTGGTCTGGCCAGGAAAACCGCTCGTAGCACGGTTCTGATGCTACACGACACGGAGGGTGGAGGAAGTCTGCATCTCGCAGTCTCGCAAGAGATCAAAACTTCAGCTTTCGGCAGGTTGTGCGTCCGGACCTGCACACGTTCATCAACGACGCATTGCTTTGCGAAGTACCAGGGCCGCCCGTGGCAGGACGTCTGCGGCGATGGATGCGCTCCTGCCATGTCAACCCCAGACAGATCCCAGTCCACAGCCTACCGAACTCCGAACTCCAAGGAAGTTTGAGGCATGGGAGGTGAGGTTTTCAAACTCGCTGAAGAAATAACATCAACGTCCTGCTGGCTCCCGCGAGACCAGCCGCGTGATGTATCCGCAGGGGTGTGGCAGCACCTGAACTGCGGGCCGGCTGAACCCGAGCATTGCGAGGCACTATGGTCGCGATGCTGGGAATGGTCGTAATGTGGGAGGTGGTGGAAAAGAGCCTCCCAATGCTGGCATCAACTTATTACCTCGGTACTTACCTCGATACTATGCACCGACCAGATGCCTCGACGAAAGCTACGTAGGATGCACGCTTTCTTGGTGTCCAGCAGCTTCATGACCCGTGACTTGCTTTGGGTTGAGGCATTGCATCCCTTCCCTTTTGGGCTTCGGGTGCTCGAGCCCTCCCTCGCTTAATGAACATGGCATCTTTACCGATCACAGCTGCGAGTGCTCCCCCACAATTCTGACGGGCACTTCCCTTACCTTCTTTCTCGCCCATACCCTGTGAGACCAGAAGCAACAATTCAAGGAGACCAAGTACCAGCTGCAAACTTGCTGGCTGACTGCAACTCAAATAAGGGCTACCGAGAAGAGCGAGACAAGACAAACAAAAAGAAGCCAACATGGTCATACCAGGAGCTCCGGAAACAGCCGCAGCAACAGAAACAGCAGTCGCAGCAGCAGTAGCAAGACAACGGCGATGACCGCGAGGATGCTACAGTATTCAAGCTGTATTGCTCATCGCAACACCAGCGGCCATTGAAAGAATGCTTACAGCAGCAGCAGTATCAACATGATATTACATCGGTGCCATTCTCGGAATCATAACGTCGAGCCGCACCAGCAAGATGAAGCGACAGCCCCTGAGTTTCGAGCTGGAAAAGCTCCGATGAGACATCTGCACCGCAAGCCGCTGAGAATTGCTGCGGGCAGTCTGTGGAACCTGTGCCACATCGTGTGGGTGTCAGGAAGGGAAGTAATGAAAACTCGAACAGTTCTGCACTGCCAGTGTTGTCCTGTCTCAAACGGCAGCAGAGCACCACGAGATACCACGTGGTGCAAGACCCGCAACAGTCTAGACCTGTCTGAATAGCGCGACGTAAACTTAACAAGCCGGACCCGCAGACCAAAGACAAGTTGCAGCAAACGCAGGCAAACGCAGACCTCCTGCCTAGTTGATGCACCTGCAGAACCCGCACGCCGCTGACCATGGGAGTCCGGATCATTCGTAAATGAGTGGCACGAACATGCACTGTCCAGTCGCGGACTGTGTATGTCATGTGTCATGAGTCATCAGGAGAACTATCCAACTAAGATCCTTCAAACAACGGCACCCTCATCGTAAGAAACTTAGGTCCACTCTAAACCTTTGCGACCTCCAAGGTCCCTGATTTCTCCGCTGTGGCCGGCTCCTGGCCAATCCGCTGAGACGAAGCGACCCTAGGAAGCGATGGGCGATGAATGCTGAGAAGCTGAGAAGTCTCCTTGGAGAGGCTTTCGCCAAACGGCAGCATTGGACGGGCCACGGACTCGACCTTTGCTAGGTCCACTTCCGCTCTGCGAACTCTTTCGCGCGCATCGCCTCGGCTTCAGACTGCACACATGCTTCAAGTAATTTGAAAAAAGACTTCGCATCCCGTGCTCCGGCAGTTTCTCAATGCTTTCATGCGGCAGACGGCCATCCATCCGCCACTTTGCTGCTTCGCTTCCGCCTGCGCTCTGTTAACTAAAGGCTCTCCCGCTTTGGGAGCATTCGCAAACCGTTTACAGGTGTTGCATTTGTGCGTGAAATAACGATGATGCGATTGCAGACTCAGCAAAACTCAGCTAAAACCATAGCATTGACACACACACACACACACCTCCACAGTTTGCAGCTGCTGACGGGCAGCCGTCACAGCCATCTTCGCCTTTCAAAAATGTTGCTTCTGGCCGGGAACATACTGACGGAGGCAGGAGCAGGTGTAAGGTGACAAGGTCGTGGTCAACAGCTGTCAAGTGTGTTTCGTGCAGACTTTGCATCGCTGCTGCCACAGGTCGGATCACGTAACGACGTAACTGCCACTGACATGTTCTCCAAACTCGCCCCCCGAGAGGAAGGCCTCCTCCATCATATCAGCTGCATCGGCACGGGAAGCAGGCAGCAGAACCTCCAGGAGGAAGGGCAGGGGAAGTGACGAAATTTTCGGTGCTCCACTGCGGACACTCGGCAACCAACAGCTCCCAGCCCGATTGGCAACCCTCGCCTGAGCTTCTGCCACGGCCTGCACAGATCTCCACAACTCGTGCATTTGTCATGCGGATCGAAGGCTCGCGGGTAGCTGGAGTGGGCCCCGTCTGCTCCCCAAATTGGCCTGGATCTCTGCCTCGATTTCGGCGGCCACCCTGCAAAGGCAGCAGAATGGCGGCTTGTGCACCCTGTTTGCGACACGGTCGTGCCGTGTCGTGCCTTTCGGCTGTGGCTTCAGCCGCCAGACGTCGCGCTGAGAGCTCCTTGCATTTGGGTATACATTTCTGCTGTACGACATGGCGTGGCAGTGCGACGCTGAAATGCACTTGCGAGCTCCTGGCCTCAGCGGGGACTTCATCAGGGAGCAAATCGCGCACAACCGGAACTTGCTGCGCAAACATCTGGCGAATCAGTTGAATCACATAAGCCGGACGAGAGCTGATGCACGAGCTGAATGCTTTGCCTTAAGTGTCTGAAGAACGACATAGGTCACTACGAAGACCAGACCTGTGCCACATTTGCAAAGAGAGAGTCAGAAGAACCGCTAGATCTAACATCTGAGCATGCTTCAGTTGCCTATCATGGAAGCTGCCCATAGCATGCCCATGGCCAGTCCAATCGCCGGAATTACAAAGAAGGCGGCTGCCCAAATCAGGAAAGGGTACCTTAGAGCAAAGCGTCCAGAGCCCAACGGACACAACATGTGCCTTCCAGGGCCTGTATCCCTCCTTTTTGGCAAGGTACGGCATTGTCGAGCACCGCAGCAAGCGGACAGGCAAAGGTGTTGGAATGGCTCTGAAAAAGCAACCCTGGAATGATTTCTACCATGTCGGTTTTGCAGCATGTTTTTGGTGGAATATTGTCCAGCAAGCTGTTTGCATGCGAGGGCCTGTCATCAAGCACCGGCGATGAAAACACTATGCCCGAACAGTACATCTTGTCTAGTTCTGCCCACAGACGTGAGGGCTTGGTCTGAAATGAAGACTTGAAGGCTCATGCAGCCTGGAGCAGGAAGCTGCTCGGAGCATGCCCACACGTTTCTGGGATCAAGACAGCGTGGCATCGCGGTCCATGCAGAGGTGCCTCGTGGCCTTGGGCCAGCTCGCTCCTTCTGCTCTCCTGCGCTGAGAGCCACTCTCACGCTGGTCTCCCTCCGCTTACGAGTGCCGGTCTGCAAGCCTCGATCCTCATCTTCTCCTTCTCCATGCCTGCGCCCATTCTGACGCCGAAAGGGCCGACCGTGCAAAAGGCAAGGTGCTTCAAGGGACACGCCAGTCCTGCTGTGAATGCGGCCTACTTTTAGGGTTAACGAAATGCTCAAAATGCCACCTTCCAAGCGATGTCGACTTTCACTTCGGGCCTGCCTGGGACACTTCACAGCGGATGGAGGCACCATGGAGGGGCTCACGAACAGCTAGCAGCTGGCGCCTCAGCGCTGCCGAAGCGAGCTCCTTCTCGCGCTCACACTCTTCCTTCGCCTGAACAGATGCGGCATCTCCGAAGAGACGGATGAGACAACTTTGCCAGGTCAGGCCTGCCCATGCACCTTCCGATGATTCAGCAGCACGGCTTCGTAGCGCTCTCGGTCGGTGTAAAGGATTTGCACCTGCATGCAGCGCTTCATGACTCTCTCGTTCCCGCCTGAAAAAGCCTTTCAGGAGGCCTGGTTCTCCAGATTCCTTTCCATGACGGACAACACCTTTCACACTCCGCTCATTAGGCGGCGCAGGTTTTCGCCAGTCTTGAGTGGAAGTCGGTACAACGACAACAAGGTGCCTCGATGGCCTGCTGACGCTGTGCCTCGGCCTGCAGCCGCTCTGGCGCTGCTTGGGATCTGCTTGGGCTTGCTACGGTTGCTACCCTACCCGACATTACCCTCTCCGAGAACATGGCATTTTCTCGGAGAGCCATGCTGTTGTTTGCTAAAATGCCCGGAGTTTGCTCGATTCTTCCAAGGCCCAAGGGCCTCCTAGGGCCCTAGGGTCCCCAGGTCTGTAGTCTCAGAGTCATTCCGGCCCTTCCCGCCACCATCTGCCTCTGATGCCACGCGAGCCTGAGGCTCAGCATGTCTCGAACACCAAACTCTAGCAGTTGTGTGCCACAGGAGTTTCGTACACTCGTGTCTACGTTGGGCAGCTGACAGCAACCTTTTTTCCCTGGGTGTCCGCACTCGCTGGTCCACCACTTCTCGCAAGCGCTCTCGGCAGCTTACCAGCAGCTCCTGCCAACCCGAGCAGCACACTGCGATGCACTGCGAGGCTGTGTGCGAAGCTCGGTCCTGAGACTCCTTGAGCTGCGCCTCAGCGGCGGCCTTTTTTCGCATCTGTCGTTATGAGGTGCACAGACAGCTTGTATTGGGGTAGAGACAATCATAACAACTCGCCATGGAGCAGCAGTTGCATTCTTGCTAGGCACGACAAACAAATGGTACGTCCGCAAAGAATCCAAACCATAAGCGCATGACAAGAGCACTTGCTTGCCCCATTTCGGGCTGTTCTTTTAGGCGAATCTTGTCTTCAACGCGATTCAGCCGTTTTGCGGGCGTTGTTGTCTTCACGGCGTTTGCAGCGATGCACCATGCTGAGCCCTGCATGGATTCAGACCGACTGACATCTCTCGACCAGATATGCGGTGTTCTGTAGGTGGATTCTGTGAGCCTGTCGTGCTGTTGCCCGCAGCCGCTCATGACAGCAAGGCCGGCAATGGCAGTCAGGCCCTGTCTTCGCAGCATCTGGCCTGTCGCGTCGTGCTCTCAACTTCACGACCTTTGTGGAGACACGGTGCGGGTCGACTGATGGCTACTCCTCGCAGTCTCCCTTCAGGGCTTGGGCTCCTGGTCGCACGGCGCTTGTGCACCAAGTCCCCTGTCAGAAGTCAGAAGTGCAGGGAAACCATGCACACCACGAACACACATGTCGTGAAGGATCATCTGCACGACGCTCTTCAAGGGGCGATTTCAGTGCCTGATATTTGGCGAATTTCCTGCTCCAGATCTTCGTTGCATCCGCTCAGCATGTTGCACATAGCCTGCAACTTCGAACATGGTTTCATGAGGAGTATATGATGCAGGCAAACGCCTCTCGGACTGCATAACCAATTCGAGCTGGCACCCCCAGTTGAAAACATTGCTTGTCCCTTCAATCAGACATTACCATGCTTGCCAAATTGAACATGCCCTTGTGATGTACTGGTGTTTCGTCATCAATTTCCGTTGTCTTGCGAAGTCGATGCCACCGGAAGAAGTCCCACATGGCATGGCCATGAACTCACACATTCGTTTCAACTCTGCTCATTGCCGGAATCGGCGACTAACAGTTTTACGCCAGCTTTACAATTTGGGCTCGATTGGCTGTAAACCGCTGTGGCTGTGTTTGAGTGGGTTACCAATACCAAATTTGTGCTTCATCTGCCGACAAGGTAAAATTCGAGAGCGAAATGAAGTGTCTCAAAGAGAGCAAAGTACCAAGACATTGCTTATGTTCTTATTCCGTGCTCTTTCTGTAGACCGGCTCGATTCGCGGCTTTTGCATAGCAATCTCTTCATTAGACGAGCCGCGCAAAGTCACCTGCTCCAAACACTTCGGCCAAGCTACGCTCCGCCTTGACAACAGGGTCGCATTTGCATTGCAGCGAGCCGCTGGCAATGCAAATGCGACCCTAAGAAGACAGCAGCGTTTTCCGGTTCTCATTCGATTTGTTTCTTCTGGTTGAAACTTTTCATGTGCACCTGCCACTCCCCACGCACGGCAGCGCTGTGGGACTTGGGAACCCGAGTGATCTTGCCAGCATTTCTATTCGGTCAAGTAAGTGGACCTAATCGCCACTGTCGCACTTCATTTTAGTATTTGTCCAGCTAATCTTTGCATTCACACGCGGATCATGGAGACAAGCTGCTACACCTACTCTCTTGACTCCTACTACCGATCGCTGGAACCTATCATCTGATTTCTCAGTAGCTGCTCCTCGCTTCTAGTATTGCTTTGCACCTTGTGCTATTCGGACACTGCATGCTTCCGCCATTTAAGTCCAGTCTCATCAGAAACCCACATCCAACTGAAATCAGTACGCGAGTGTTTGCGAGCAGAGAGAGAACTCGATTCAGGCTTATATTATGAGCATTGGGATGGAGCTTACTGCTAGCAAAGTTTGGGGAGTTGGGTTGAGGGCTTGAGTGTTTGGGTTTAGGGTTTTTGGTTTGGGCTTTGGCGTTTACGGTTCAGGGGTGCGGGATTTGCGGTTTAGGATCTGGCTGTGCCAAGCCTTCCACACGCACTTGTTCAGAACGAACCCTAAACCCAAACCCAAAGCTCTCAACACCAAAGCCCAACAGATGCGATTGACATGGCACTGGCTTTGATATCCTCAATTAGCTGGCCCCTGGCCCCTCACTTTACATTTTCCGGTGCTTATTCAGGATTTGGCTTCTTGGCAGTCCTCTACTTCTCAACTCACACGTAGTCTTTGTGCTTTCGTCTTCTTTTCTGATAGCGGTCAGTCTTAACTGCATGACTGAGAAGAGGATAACAAGAGGAGGCCTAAGGATTGATGGCGGAGGTATTTCCAGCCGTTTCTAAGCAGTTTGATGAGCCTGAGGCTGGATGTTGAAGTGATTTGCAGTCTTTCGAAGCACTTTGATGGGCCTCAGGCTGGATTTGAAGGGATTTGGAGTCTTTTTTCTGGGGGCTCTAACGGGCTCAGGCTGGGGTTCTGGTACTTACCTCACGTTTGGGCTTGGAAGTGCCCGCAAAACCCAAACCACCCCGAAACTCCCTTGGCCCTCCCAAACCCTTCGAATTTCTGGCTGTCTCACGAAAGAAAGCTGCATGTTGCTCGCTGATACCATCAACAGACTCTTGCAAGCCTGAAGAGTGAGAAGCTCGCCATTGAAAGCTTGCTTTGCAGCGTTGAAATCCTTCTCCAGGGCCTGTGGCAGTGGCAGTTGCCAACCGAAAAGCTCACGACAGTTCATGGCTTTGTCACATGACTTCGTCAACATGGATCGAATGGCGTCGCCCCACTCTGGAGCCTCACGGCCGTTGTTCTCTGCGTCCCAGTGCGACCTGCTTTTTACAGCACAGGATCGATGGGGAGCCAAGCCTTGTTGAACACCCCACAGCGTCGTACGACGTGTCACTCTCAAGACCTTGCAGGGTCTCGGCCTCCACGATGAAATGTCAGCATCGGAGGTCGCGATGTCCTGCAGCGAGGCCTGAAAAAGGCTAGCATGCCGAACCGCCCAAGTTGGCCTGCGAAAGCTTCACATGCCGAGCTCAGTGATTCCAAGGCATCCCTGCCTCATGGTCAGCTTGGAGCTTGAGCAGGTCCTTTATGAGATTTTATGAGCAAGGCGGAGGTGAACGACAAGGGCAGCGAATAAACTGCTGCCGCAAGTGCAACTATGCAAGGCTCGGAGGTGAATCTCTTTTTTCAGAGGTCAGTGCTCCAAAATGTCCAAAGTTACACGTATGATGTAAAACATAGACAGGAGGCACGTTCAAGAGGCCCCGGCAGTTGGAGAGCCAGGAAATTGACAATTGAAGGACGACTATTGTGTTGTAATTAGTATTCTACAATGTTCTGATTGACACTTTGCCATGTGGCATGGCCTTTCTGTACATATGCCTCCTTGGTGCAAGGTTGAAGACGAGCTTGAGGAACGACGGACCCGAAGTTTGTGCAGATGGAGCTTACCGGCTGACACTTTTTCGAAGTACTGCTAGAATGCTGACGACTGGTTGAGCAAGCATTCACAAAAGAACTGGGTCAAATATGCCTGTAGCAAGCAGCGGTTGGTCTGCTGGTCTGGGTCCCTTTTGGGTTGAGACCGGCCAGCAAAACAAACCGCCAAAGCCAGGCATGTGCAAGAACAAGTGTATGAGCGAGCACGTGCAGAAGCTTGAAAAGTTGGCCCCGCTGTGAGTGGGCCTTTGTAAGTGAGAGCAAATAGCGGCAACCGAAGAATCGCCTTGGGAAGTTGAAGGCAGCTTCAGCTGCCAGGGAACCGTGAGCCCGAGGGAGGGCCGTGACAGGCAAACTCAAAATCATAACTTCCACGAAGGCTTCATCCAGTGCGCCGCAGCATCCGATCTCACCACGCGGAGCAGTGGGACAGGCATTCCTTTTGCGGCAGAAAGTGGGTTCAAAATGCGGCGGCTGCTTCAGTCATGTCAAACTCTAACCAAGCTGCTGTGCTCAGTACCATCCCTTGCTCTGGCCCTTGCTGCTCCCCTTGCGGCTCGAATAGCCTCGGTCCTGTGGTACGCTGAGAGTCACAAGTCAGCAGCGACAGCTTTCGGTTTCGAGTCATGGCTCCTAGCGCAAGTGCCCATCACAAGGTCCTCATATCCCCAGTCATTGTAGCTGCGACCGCCACTTCCGTAACTCTGGGTGCCTGAATTCGAGCGTTTGAGACAGCAAGTCTTCAAGTCTTCAGGACCATGAACAGATAAACCATAGTCTTCGCCGAGGTGCTCTTGCTCGTGCCCTTACTCTTTCCCTTGCTCTTGCCTCCGTAGCCGTAATCATCATAACCTGAATCATAACTTGAGTATCCGGACTTTCCTTTGCCCTTGCCTCGGGACCATGCAGGCACATGTCGTATGCAGGTGTGTGTGACAGCACGAAGCTTGCGAAGAGAGACAGGTGCAGCTGAAGCAGACGGAGGGCTCTGTCCATAGCTGTAATCGTCTTGATAGTAGTCCCTGCTCTTGCTCGTCTTTCCCTTGTCCTTGCCTTTTCCCTTGCCCTTGTCGTCTCTGGATTTGCCCTTTCCGTAGTCCGAGCCTTTCTTGCCCTTCTCAGAGGACTTGCCCTTGCCCTGCAAAGGAATGCGGTCAAACCGCCGGCTGCCGTGCAGTGCTGCGGTGATGGCCACATGCCAGCACAGAGAAAACTACTAGTACAGCGGCAGCGCAAGCGTCCTTGCTTTTGCCTTTGCCACTGTAGCCATAATCGTCCTCATAGTCGTCGTAGCTTCGGCTCTTTCCCTTGCCCTTGCCTCGGCTCGGGAATTCTGTGAACAGCGTGGTGTCCTAAGCCAGTCCCTTCCCCAGCAGGCAATTTGCGTATAGACGAAGGATAAGCTCAAATACTAACCAAGGTGCTGGAGCTCTTTCCTTTAGAATCTCCTTTGCCTTTGCCTTTTCCCTTTGATGTGGTCGTCTTTCCCTGTCCAAGCACTTTCCCGGACTTGGTTGAATTGAATTACCGATGCGCTCTCCGCTAAATGCGCCTTGCCCTTGCCTTTACCTTCTCCCTTTCCCTTGCCCTTTCCTTTTCCTCCCTTTCCGCGACCCTTGCCGCGTCCCGCGCCCTTTCCGCGACCCTTTCCGCGGCCTGGAGTCGAAAGAGTTGCTGGCTCTGTATAGGTGTGTAGATTGGCCACTTGCGCCTCCAGCTGGGCGGTCGTCTGGTGTGTACTCCTGGAGCTTCAGGGCTTGGGCCACAAGACCGGAAGGAATAACGGAATTTTTGCGGGGTCGCGAATTGCCAAATTCAGAGCTGACCCAGCTGTCTCCTTCACGAGGGACTCGTCCAGAGGCGGTTGGTAGCCCTTGCAAAACCAAGCTTGTGATGATGCTCACTCAATTGGCAGGATGGCTGACACTGTCGAAATGACGAGTGAAGGGTTCCCTTGTGCCTTGTCCAATGTGTCCAAGGCGTCCTGACTTGCTTGAGCTGTCAATGCTGGCCACAGACTAACGGTGGTCGAAGCCTTGGACAACTTGATCTCGATCACGGACACGCTGCGCGTGTCGACGACCTTGTCCAGGCCTTCTTCAATGGGTTCGTACTCGTCCACGATGTCCTTAGCTGCACGGCTGAGGAGGCCTGGAAAACGAACCCGAGAGCCTAAATGAATGCCACCATTCACTTACGCTCTGCACGACTACCGGCTCGAAAGACGAAGCCTGTTCGCTCCAGGCGGCGGTGGTGCCGATGTTAGTGATCTGATGCAGACCTCAAGGCGAGTTCAAGAAGTGGCCGGAAGAAGGCCGAAAGGGGCATCTTCAACCCCATCACGCATCGCTCGCACGGCAGTTCTTCACCCGATGCGACAATCCTGCCAGTGTCCGAAGCTCGCAGCTCGTCGCCACAGCAAAGTCAGTAATGCAGTAGGCACACTATGATCTATCAGTCTGTAAGTCGTGCTGTGAGTGGCATGTTGCACATACGCACAAGTGCGGTAGCTGTAGCAGACAGGTTTGGCCCACAAGGAAGGTGCCTTTCGCCATGGTCTATGCTGGCTGAGAAGTCGACCCTTGAATCGGCGCTTGATGACTTCAGCAGTAGTAACAGCCTCGACAGCTGCCCCGGAGCAGCAAGGAAGCTGAAATTGGAGCAGGCGAACCTTGGTCAGCGCGTTGCCGGTCGCCTGAATGATGACCTTGGCAAATGGGCAAAGCACAGAGCGGCATAGAAGATCCGTTTCTATCCGTTTCTGAAAGCGGAGGTTACACTGCTAGAGCCTGTACTCAGCCGAGCCGCGAAGGACTTGCCTAGGTCGTTGAAGACCGTTGCAGCGCGGGAAACGTAAGCCTGGTATTGTGGCATCTGGCTCGGCAACCGTATCGGTTGTGGGGTTGGTAAATCGCGACTAGGTGCTTCGACCACAGACTAGATCCATCATGTGCCAAATGTGGCTTGCTGACAAAGTGGCTGAGACACTGCCAGCAGCAGTCACACGGATCTCCTCATCGCTCTTGACAATCTCTTCCTGGCACGTGACTCGGCAAATTAAATGCAGTCGTTGCAGCAGAGAAGGCAATTGACTAGCCAACAGATCCAATTGAAACACAAAAAACTCTCCCAGCACGCGATGCTGCTTCTGCTGCCCAGTTCATGACATTAGCTCGGTCCCAGCAAACAACCCAGTCGGTCACCCCGGGTTTCAGGGCGACTTCCGGCCAAGCACCCTCAACTTGCAGTTTCCAACGCAGCGCCTTGGGCTTTGGCACTCTGCGGTACTTATCCATGGCCGAGGGCTGATGTTCAGCAGTGTGCGAAGCTCGAGAAGGATGCTGGGGATGAGCTGGCTCAATGCTGCGGCACAGTCAGCACCGTGATTTGCGACCCGAGGCCGGCATCTGACATGGCGGAGTCTGCGACGTGTTTCAGCGCCGCTCCTCGTCAGAAGCTCTGATCTCATCTTCCATGGCCTGTGCAGCTAATCGCGAGAGCAGGCTGACGGCTGTCTTTCTCAACCCTACCCCTGTACGCACCTCAGCAAGGTTCCACAAATTGCTATGGAGGATCATGATTCCGTGTTCTATTGTCAAGACATCAGCGCATCATCACAAATCATTTGGAGACAGGCGCGCCGCGATGTGGGTCAGTTATTTTCTGTCGTGATTACGTGCCGAGAGGATTTTGGAAGGAATCGAGCCGATCACGCATCGCCATCCTCAGCACTTGGTACGTGTGGCGGTGTAGCTTCCGGGGAGGATTAAGAGTATTGCGGACATTTCGGCTGCAAAGCTGTTCCTGCTGCAGGCCTCGATCTGCTGCAGTGCCAAGGCGGACTCTACCTGAAACCAAGAGCACCGTGAAGACACGAGGAATCGAAGCAGCCCGGCGCCGCAGGCTGCAGGCGGTGCCTCGTCGGCCCGCCGGTTTTCGGTGAGGCGACGCTCGCAGGAGCCCCGGCCTTTGCTCGGAAGCCGTCGGAAATTGAGAACTCTCTTCGGGCTGGCAGCTTTCAGCGCCTGCGAATACTGCGCTTCATGCCCGGGGCTAGAGCAGTCAGTCAGCTCAAGGTTGTTCTTGTCCTCCCGTGCGCATCTAGGTCACAGCCCCTCTTGCCCAAATCAACAAGTTCAGCGGGCAACCACTGGCATCCTGGAAACGCAAGCGTTGCTCATCCAGCTGCCCTCGCAGGTCTTCATTGCTGCGCACCTTCCAGCTATATAAGTGAGTTCAACCGTCAATTGCATCAACGATGTCACTTGGGCATTCGGCTGCTGCAGCAAGGGCATCGTCCGACTCGCGCATCTGTCGCTGAAGTTCGGCGGCCACCTGTCGGCTGTAGGGTCATCATGTTACACGTGCTATACTGGGAGGATCCCATAAGTCTGTCACATCGCACTAAAGCCTCATAGCAAAGGCCGAGCTTCAACGAGAATTCGGAACTGCGCTGGCAGACGGATGCGCGCCTGATCCAAACTTTGGGTCTCGCTGACCTGCGGAGCACAAGAAAGGAAGCATCGACAATCGCCATTGCTAGTGCCCTGGAGCACGGCAAGGCAAAACAACAACCCCACCGTGATCGTCTGTTCTTCCAATAAGCTTTCCACAAGCTTGACACCTTCAGCATTGGCTCCTTAACAAAGGCGGTGTGCCTTCGAAGTGAGGGCTGTTTCCGAGACGGCGATTTGCCGATGCAGCTGATCCAGACTCACCTGAAGCGATCAATACGGCGGCAAATTTCATACTGCCCATCTGTCGCGGACCTGCTTTGCATCCAGCTGCTTCTCCTGCTCGCTGCAGTCAGACTCCAATCTCGCTCGCTCCTCACAGCAAGCATTGCTTTTGACATGCTGAGAAGTGAGACTCTTTTTTTTTTCCGAGCCCTTGCCGCTCCTCAATCCAAGCCTGCCTCTCCTCCAGCTGGCGCTTCTCGTGGGCCTGGCGCAAGACACAAAGACATCGATGACCCAAACCGACCCTGCGAACTGCCTACCAGGCTCTACGCGTTTGCAGGTTTGGTTCGGACTCGCAGTGGATCCCAGTCCCAGTCTAAGCGTCGCCGCAGTGCCGACTCCGGCCTGAAGCCGCGACTCAAGCTGCGAGCACTCCCTGTGAAGGGACCGGACAGCAACAGCAAAAGCGCCACAGTGAGAACACAGAACAGCAACATGACAGCCACTCCTGCTCAATCGGGCTTGTAAGTCCTCCTTGTCCGTCTGCATTTCCCTCGGTCCACGCCGCAAGTCTATGACAGCGTGCATGCATGGAGTCCGATTCAGTGTCAAGCCTTTCAAGAGCACGTCCGACAGAACTGGTCCGACAGCTGTTTTGGGCAGTCACATGCAAAGATGCAGAGCGCGCCGCCCATACTTTCGGCCCCAATCCATGTTGTCCTGTGAGCACGGATATGACTAGCAACCGCAAGCCATCTCGTCAAAGTCCCTGACAGACGACCACGGGAATGCAGACATATCTCGTGTCCTGATGTCTCTGCTCACGCTCATTTTTGAGCATGCTGCGAAGCTCCCCTGCGTGAGACGATTGACTAGCCGCAACATGATGCCAACATGAAGGCAATGCAATATGCTTCTAAGGAATTCACTTTTTTGCACAATCACCCCTGAACACCGCTTCCGTGTCTACTGAGCAGCGCTGTAGCGGCGCAGAGCAAGGTCATCACCAGCCTTCCTTATGGTGAGTGTGCCAAGCAGGCAAAGATAACCATCTTGGGACTCAGTAAAACTCTACATGTTGTACGACATGAAGAAGTGACCGCTGACAGAAGAACACCCCCGGGCAGTCCAATGCATGGAGAGCAACTGACTGCTTTCGCTTCGCCAAGGTCTCTTGGATCGCCTCCGCAATGTCTTTGTCCCCATGAGCAACCGCGTGGATGCGTTCGCGATCCTCCGGATTGATCCTGTGCTTTAGAGGGACTTTGTTTGCAGCCGCAGCTCGGTTGCAATGATTGCAAGCACAACCCCCTAATTGCTGGGCCGGGATGCAACACGGGCATCGGAAGTGATGAACTCAGCAAAGCCTTTGTGCTGAGAAGTGGCACCTGCACAGGTTCTCGGTAGTGTTCGACTTCAGGTGTGGCTTCGTCTCTCGCATGAACCGATTGCAAATTGCAGCTCAGTGACCATGTCAAAGATGCATTCGCGGTATCCTGCCGGAAACCGAAGAAAGTGCAGGTCCAGTGAGGCCCTATTAGGTCTCCTGCTTCTATTGCCCGATCCAAGGCCGTCTCGCCACTGTCGTCCCTATGCCCACCTGGATGGGAGACAGGCTTTACGCCTGAATGGGGGACAGCCGGCACGAAAGTGGTGAAGGCGCTGAGCCTGCAAACACCTGACCTAACAGACCGCCTTCTTGGTCCCTAATCTACATATGCAGCGATGAGCCTAGAAACGGTAGTGCTAGTAAACTCTGCTTCATCAGTGCACTTATGAGTGGCCAACTTGTGAGGTCTCATAGTCAGAGCCCTTGAAGCGTAACACAGCAAAATTGTAACCGAGCTGAATGGGCGCTGCCTTGTCGAAAGTCTTTCCGAGACAGTATTGCCGCACAAACCTGATGAGACAGCGTTGTGTAGGATGGCTGAAGGGATTCTGTGGCTCTGCTTCTGAGGTGCATCCGGCATGTTCGAAAAGACAGCCCAATGCAGGGCAGTCCAGTTCCTGCGGGGAGGGCGCTTTTTGAGGCTCCTTTGGGGCACCTTTTCAATCATCGTCCTGCGCCTGTCGATCAGGTTGACGTGCTCGAATTCCGGGCATGCAGCAATGCCAAGGCAAGCGGCTCCCAGTCTCATTGCTGCCGCGATGTGTAGAACGCCTAGGCCCAGGCTCTTCGTCCTCTACTCTTCATACTCTTCACGAGGAGCAAGTTTCGGTTCCGAGAAGCTCTGCTGCGAGGCCTCAGTCCAAATGGCAATGTCTCCCCGACAACAGTTGCCACATAGCAAGCAGCGAGCAAGATATAACCTGCCGCCCAGCATCTGTATCTACATGGTTTATGAGCTTCCGGATGTCGGCAAGCTGCAGAAGCGCCAAGCAGCTCCCTCCTCGTGACTGAACCATGTCTCGCAAGCAGGTGTACGAGAACTGCTTTACCTCTCCGCACTCTTCGCAGCCGGGCAAGCAAACAACAAATCTCGTGCAGCCACAAAGATTGTCCTCTGCCTGCTTTGGCCTCACGCAACGAGGTCTGTTGACATGGAGGGACCCAAGGGCTTCTCAGCTGGTGGTAAGAAGGGGGGATGATTCTGTGCCTGTCAGAGGATTCCATGCACCATGTGACGCCCCTATGTTGCGAAGGAAATGGCCAGAGTCACCAATGTAGCCCACAAAACTGACCTGCTTGCTGGGTTGCACCGGCGGGGCTTGCCATGGCCATTTTGCTTTACGATTGTCTGCCACCGCCCGCACTTTTTGAATGAGGCATTGAGGGGATCGGGATGGAGGCTGTCCTCAACAACCGTCGCACTCTTAGCTCTGACGCCAAACTGGACGACTCTCTTTTTCGTCGTGTGGATGTATAGCGCTGAAAGCGCCGCTCGGCGCGCAGGTTCAGGTCCTACAGCCGGCGCCGGGTGCGCATTTCAGCACCGGCCCGCTGCGGACTGACCGCCGCCGAACCCTAAGGGTGGCGTGGGTGGGAGAAAAGCTTAGGCGAAAGTCGCGTCGAGCCAGAGTGCTGAAGGCAGCTACGCCGTTCACGGTTGTTACTGCGCACACAAGTGTGCTACACAACAACCGTCGCACTCTTAGCTCTGACGCCAAACTGGACGACTCTCTTTTTCGTCGTGTGGATGTATAGCGCTGAAAGCGCCGCTCGGCGTGCAGGTTCAGGTCCTACAGCCGGCGCCGGGTGCGCATTTCAGCACCGTCCGGCGCACCCTGCCCCACTACGCGCCGGCTCAGAGAACCAGGAAGTAGAGCAGGAGTCCAAATCGGCCGCCGCCGCATCCACTGCATAGACGATGTCGTCGACCGCTTTCGCCAGGATGTTCATGATCGTCGACGCCGGGGTGTGGACCCTCGTCCACCCTTCGCGTCGTGCCCGGGAGAAGTCGTCGCGGGAAACTGCGTCGGCCACATTGGCTTTCGACGGTACCCGCCGGAACTGGATCAAGGTTCCTTTCCTCGCCGCCAGGGCCCAGAAGGCCGCCAGCAGCCCGTTCACCGCCGGGTCTTTCCCATATCCCTTGGACAGCGCCGCCTGTCCCGCGGAGTTGTCGATGAAGGCGGTGAGGGCGCCGGGCATGTGGGCTGAGAACGCCGTGATGGCGACCAGTTGCGCGAAGATCTCGAGCATGTAGATAAATGCCCGCCGCGCCTGGAACTTGTGCAGGAACCAGGCTGGGACGACGCCGTGGTCGTAGAACACAGTGCCGCCGAGGCGCAGAACAAACCCCCAGCCGTTGTTGGCACGGTTGGGCCGGGAGGCATCCGCCGACACCGGCACATGCCCCGCCTTGTGGATACGTTCCCCATCCAGGAAGAACGCGTCGGCATAAAGCACAGCAGTGTCCAGCTCGTCGGTGGCGAAGGGTATGAATCGAGGGCGGACCGTCGGCAGGATGTGCTCCAGGGACAGTAGCGCCGCCCGCAGCCCCGTGTTGAGACCGTCGGCCGAGTGCGCCGACGTATCCGCCGCACGGGCGTACACCGCCTTGGTGGAGGCCTTGCCCACGCCGCCGAAGACCGCCTGCGTGAGGAAGGAGAGTCTGCCCGCGAGCTTCTGCACGTCGTCGGGCTTGAGCTGGTCCTCGTCGAGCGCCTTGCGAATCTGTGCTAAGATGCGCCGCACTCTCTCTGGTGTGGGGCTGATGGTGACCCCCCGTCGAGAGATAGCGAAGGTGACGCCTTGAACCACGTGCTGGGCCGCCGCCGGTTGGGACTTGGAGGCCTTGATGCGGAAGCCCAGCGCCGCGAAGAGCTCCTTGAAGGACTCGGTCGCCGACTCGCCGAGCTCCTCAAACTCCAGGCCGTTAAAGTCATCCACGTAGTGCCCCGTCGCCAACAGCAGGAGCCCTCTCAGCAGCTGCTGGAGGGCGTCTCCGCCGCGATTAAAGTTCCAGACCGAGGCGGTGGCGCCGAAGTTCATGGCAAGGTGGTACCAGAAGGTCCAGCCTTCCGCCGTGGCCAAGAAGGTCCCGCACTGCGCCGGGTGCTTGACAGGCCACTGCCTGTATAGGCGCTGAGCAGGTCGTGCCCGAACACCAGAATCACGCCGTCGACCGCCATGCTGCGGGCGAGCTCGACGAAGGCGCCGATGAAATGGTGTGTCGGGACGTCGTCGGCGCTGATCGTCGAGTTGTGGCCCGAACGCCGCCAGTCCTCTCCCCGGCGGATCTTGGGATCGCCATTCTCGTCGAGCTGGATGATAGCAAAGGAGGCCGCGAGGAATTCCTCGCCGGGTGGTGGCTCGACTAAGACCGCCGCGGCGTCGACCCAGGGGAGTGCCACTGCCTTGACCGTGAGCCACGTCGGTGGGCGCGCCGGGCCGATGACCCGCCCTATAGGCGGACTTCGTCGACGAGCTCCTTCAGCAGGGTGTCGGTGTGCTCGCCGGTGTGTGGCGCTGCCACCTTGCGCCGCACATAGTCGGCATTCACCTGGCGTAGGGACTCCATGGACGCCGGGAACCTGTAGCGGTCGTCGGTCCTCTTCCTCCAGCCTGGGCCTGGGCGGAGGGCGCCGATCATGTCGAAGCCGTCGGTGAGGTCCTTCTCAAGGTTCGCCACGTCGGGGTAGTTGAGGCGTCGGAGGAGCTCCAAGAAGACCGGGATCTGTGTGACCGCCGGCTTGTCCGGCGTTGAGTAGGTCGCCCGGACCGCCGGTGTGCGTGCCGCCATCCACACCGCCGTCTCGTCGGCGAAGTCCTCGATGAGCTGCCGCACTTCGTCGATCACCTCGCGCCTAATGCGTGCCAGGTCGTGTCTCCAACGCCGGCGTAGTGTGATCCCCTCTGCCCACGCCGGTTCCAAGACCGGGTCTGTCTGGAGCGGGTGCGGCAGCAGCGCCGAAGCTCTCCAGTGGGAGTCCTCGTCGAGGTGTTCCAATGCGTCGGGTCCCGTCGGCTGATCGGACCGCCGTGGCTCCACAGCGCCGCCACCCAAGAAATGGTCGACTGGCGTGGCGGTCCCGTCGGCTGGGAGGTTGCCGTTCCCATGTTGGTGGCCACCAGCAAAATCAGCAACAGGCGCCGCGCCACCCCCCAGTGCCACCCATTGCCGAGTAGGCGGTGGCGGGTCCGGTCGTCGAGGGTGCTGTCGCCGGCCTTGAGGGTGTAGTCCGCCGGCAAGTGGTGAAGCTGCTCCTTCACCTTGGGCGGGACCACCTGGAGCTTCCCGTCGGCGCCGACCATCATGGCTTCGCGAAGGTAATGCCATGGCGCGAACTGCCGTCGGTCTGCGAGCCATCGCTGCTGTGCGTCGGCTGGTATCTTCCCCCTGCAACCTGGGCGCCGACCGTTCTCGTCGGTTGCGGGCGTCGTGGCGCATGGGAGGCGCCTTCTGCCGGAG